GTTGCTTGTAGCTCACCACTTACGGATGCCACGGAGGCTTCTGATGATTCAGCCTTTGCTCCAGTTCCGACTTCTCATCTCCGATCTTAGTGCAGCTTTCTTGCCACATGGCAATGACATTTTGGGCTTCCTCTTCCTGCTCTGAGTTGATTCCAGTCTTCACCACAGCCTCCAGCTAGTTGCTCGTACTTTATTTGGCAAAATGAACATTGTGGTTGGAATTTAGAGACCGGCATTTCGATACACAGCTCTCTCAGCCACAACACTTGCAACTGCGACACGGAGTCGTCGCTTGAGACTTTCTGCTGCTGTTGAGTTAGCTTGGAGTTTTGCATGTTGTCTTTGTGGTTGCATGCCGGACAACTCTGATTGCTCCAAACTGTGCATTCCTCAACTTGATTGCGGCCTTGGCTTTCCTGCTCTCTTGTGTGTGCAGTTGAGTTGGGTTTTTAATGTTGTTGGTGGTTTCCAATTGCTGGAAAACCTCCGACTTTCCCCCTCCAAACTTGTGCATTTCTCCTGCAACGTTTCGATTTCGGCCTTGGACTCTTCCTCGCTCTCGGTCAGCCGCTTTTCCAGATCGCTGGCTTTGTACGCAAGCTTGCCGCATTCAGCCCTTGAATCAGAAAGTGCCGCCTCTGCAAGACTAGCCTGCTCCTGCTTTCTTCGAATGCTTGCTTTATTTCTTCCAAATCTGCTCGAAGGCTCTTTTCTGTTTCCAGGGAAGCTTCCATGTCTTGCAGGTTTCTCCTTCAGTACCTTTTCCTTGTTTTCCTCCAGTGCCTGCTGCGTTTCTTCAAATTGTGCTTTGAGGTTCTTTTCAGCTTCAACACTCTGTGCCAGAGCTTCCTCTCCCTTGGTAACGTTCTGCTGACTTTCCTCCAGTGCTTGTTGACTTTCCTGTAGCTGAGCTCGAATATTCGTTTCAGCTTCATTTGATGTTTCAAGGTTTTGGGCAAGTTCAGCCTTTTGCTCCTCCAGGGTGCTGCAACTCTGCTGCCACATCGAGATAACATTGTTCGCATCTTCCTCTTGTTCGGTTCAGTGAGCTGGCTTCCAAGTCCTTAATGGCCTCCTCCACGAAGATGTTACGATCTTCAAAAGAGAGATCTCTCTCTTTTCCAAACAGTTGCTTGATGAGGCCAACAATAAACTCCAAGACAAGGAAGAAGAGATCCGAACGCAACAAGGTATGTCCACGTCCACGTTTATCAAAAACTTTGCGTTGTTGATTCGATCCCAAGTCTAAGTTTGCAATATTGCATGCTTATCGTCTCAAGGTCGCGTTGCCGAGCTCGAGTCAAACCTGGAGGAGATGAGGTCGAAGCTGGCCAACAACAAGAGCAAGCTAAGGCTGAAATTGAAAAGTGGCAAGAGAGCATTTCGTCGTTAGAAGATCTTAAGGAAGAAAAGCTGAAAGAAGATGAGGATGTTGTGCTGCAATGGCAGGGTAAGTAACACCTTGGGGATTTCATTGATCGTGGTGTGAAGAAATAAAATCTGATTCTAACGTTTGATCAAAAACGAAGAACGAGCAACCGAGCTGGAAGCCGTGGTGAAAGACTTGGAGACTCAGCTGAATGAACAAGAGGAAGAAGCGAACAATGTGATTGCAATGTGGCAAGAGAGCTGCAACACCTTGGAAGCAACCAACCAAGAGCTGGCCCAGTCAAGTGAGAAACTGGAAGAGCAACTCGAATCGAGCAAAGCTGCCGCCAGCAGCGCTGCGGAGCTACTCAAGACAACAGAGGTTGACAAAAAGGAGTTACAGGGTACGTTCGAGGAAGTTTGCATGGAAAACGAAGCGAGCTGGTCACTTTCTAACTTGAACGTCTCTTTTAGAACGAGTGAATGAGTTGGAAACTGCATCTAGAGGTCTCGAAGCCAAACTTAGTGACGAAGACGAGAAGGCAAAATCGTTGATTGCTGATTGGCAAGAGAAGGTTGCATCTTTGCAGGCTGCCAAGGACGAGGTCACGGTTGCCCTTACGACTGCAAAAGACAATCAACAGTCAATGGAACAAGAGCTGGCGTCACTCCAGAGCCAGATGAAAGAGACTGAAGGGGAATTGACTGTTGCTCGCGAAAGCCTAAGCGAGAAAGAAGGTCAGTGTAGTGTGGCACTACTGCTCACTCTAAGAAGTTGCAATCATTCTGTGACTCACTCATACCTTCCTGATGAATCGAATTCAGCCATGGTCGCTTCACTCGAGGGGCGGCTACAGGCAATGATAGAATCCCAGGATCTCGACGCGTCTGAGAAAGATAGGGAACTGGATTCTCTCCGCGGTCAAGTTTCAACTCTACAGCTAGAGCTGGACAAGACAGAAGCATCTCTGAAAGAAGCCCAAGCGAATCTTGCTCACAACGAGAAGGCAGTCTCGGAATGGGAAAGTACGTGCTATGATCCAGTCTTGGCCTCAAATGTTGCCGTGAAGAAGCGCCTCCAACTCACCGCTGACCTGTTTCTTGCTCCCTAGAACGTGCAAATGAATTTGAAACAAGCGTTAAGGAGCTCGAAGAACAGTTGACCGAACAAGAAAACGAGGCGAGAAACGCAATTTCGGATTGGTCAGACCGCGTGCAACTGCTGGAGAAGGAGAAGGGCGACCTTGCGCAGTCATTAGCAGCCGCCCTGAACCGCAGCAAGGAACTCACGGATGAAAACAAGTCCAGTGCGTCGTCTGCTTCGCAACTAGCAGATGCCAAGGCTGCACTGGAAGAAAAGCAGCTAGTGGTAGAGGATCTGAACGGTACGTTCGTGTTTCGTTTACTAGACTCACCCATGAGTTCACCTCCAGTTTCTCATGGCTGTTTTTTCTTGATTTTGTAGAGCAAGTGGCTGAGCTCGAGTCAATGGTTAATGGACTCCAGCAACGGTTGTTTGTGAATGAAAAGGAAGTCTCGGATAAGAAAGGTATGTGTTTCTTTTACTAGCCCACCCATGAGTTCACCGCCAGTTTCTCATCACTGTTCCCGTCTTGATTTGTAGAGCAAGTGGCCGAGCTCGAGTCAATGGTTAATGGACTCCAGCAACGGCTGTTTCTGACTGAAAAGGAAGCCTCGGCCAGGCGGGAAGAGCTAGAAGAATCGGCCTCTCAAGTGGCGATGTTCGAATCGATGGTGAATGGACTTCAGCATCAACTGTTGACCAGCGAAAAGGACTCCACTGCGAAACGGGATCAATTGCAGGAATCCATCACCAACTACAAGCGTCAGGCCGAAGATCTTGATCGAGAATTGCAAGAAGCCAGGGCCAAGATTGAACAGCTCGAGGCTACGGACACAGCAAAGCCTAGCGAGGACAAAGTGGAGGCAAGACCGAGCGAGGCTCTCGCAGATGAACTGGAAGACGTATCGTTGAGCCATGACGATGAACTGCCTTCGCCAACAGGACAAACCGAGGGAGGTGCAGACCCCAAGGATGATGGTAAGAATGAGTCTGATCGCAACATTTTGCACTGCTTTCATGCAGCGCATTTTTAATTAACAGTTTCTTGCGAAAATCTCTTCTTCCCAGGTGAAGTTGCAGAGTTGAAGTCCCTAGTCCAGGAACTTGAAGAACAAATTAAAGCCAAAGACAGCGAGATGGCAGGCGAGGTCCGAGAGTGGCAGGGGCACTGTGTCGCCTTGGAGACACAGATCAACGATTTGTCCAAGGAGCTTGAAAAAGTCTCAAAAGCTCTAGCAAGGGCCAGGGAGGACAGAAGCAACGACCCCGACTATGAGGGTAGCGTCGAGCGTAAGAATATCTTGAGAAATTCATCAGCGTGTGCTGGTCGCAGTTTGAAAATTAAGGCTGACATGATTGTGATCACCTTCTCCATACACCTCCATACACAGAACAAATTGCTGAATTGGAGTCAACCATTGAGTCTTTGGAGCAGGAGCTCGAAGACAAACACATTGAAGCAGAAAATGCCATTGCTGAGTGGCAAGATAGCTACGGAGTGTTGGGAGCAAAGAACGGAGAGCTCGAGGAACAGCTGGCAGCTCTGAATATCCAGGTTCAAGATTTGAGAGACACAAAGCAAGCAGTTGACGCTGAATTGGACCAGTACAAGTCACTTCAAACCCAAGCCAGTGAAGAAGCAGGAAAGCTGAAGGCTGAGTTAGAAGCTGCCAGCGATGCGGATGCAAGCGAGAAGCGTACGTATGGCTCACCTCCACCACACCCACTCTTGTGTATACCCTTTTGCCAGCTGAACATTTGGCGCTTTCATTCTATTTGACTTGTCTGTTGTGTCTTGCAGCTGCAGCCGACGGGGAAGCAGCACTTGAGTTGAAGTCAAAGATTGCAAATCTGGAGGCAACTTTGGCGGAGCGCGAGCAAGAGCTTTCGGACCGACCAAAAGAGTCTGCCTTGCAAGAACTAGAAGCTCGCTGTGCCGCTCAGGGCGAAAAGATATCGTTGCTGAACACGCATCTCGAAGAGACCATCAAGGACCGTGATGAAGCTGTGGCCAAACTGAAGAGCGCTGAGAAGTTGTCCTCGGCAACCGCAGATTTCTCGCAGGAAAGCGAACGCCTAACCGAAAAGATCGCGGAACTTGAAACTCTCGTTGAAGATCTGAAGAAAGAGCGTGATACGTCAGTGGCTGCCATGGAGGAATCTTCCCGGCAGTTGGTTCAGAAATCTGAGGAAGACGAAGCTGCCGTTGCGCAGTGGAATGGTGAGAACATTTGTGTCTTTGTTTGTGAGATTGCTTTGTGCAACAATAGCTCATCTTCCAACGTGTTGCCATTGCGTTGTGTACAGAGAGAATCAAACAACTCGAGTCTGAACTCGAACGGCAAGAAACAGAAGCGAACGAAGCCATTGCTGGCTGGGAGTCAAGTTATTCGATGGTGCAAGAGAGTCTTACCGGAGCTCAAGCCGAGCTAGAGACCTGCAAGGCAGAGCTTGTTGACTTGTTGAAGGCGCAAGTGTCGTCGTTGGACGAGATTCTCGTGAAATACGATGATGAGTATGCGGCGGATGAACTGAGTAATGACTTGAGCGACGTTGATGCCTTGCGAACGAAGTGCAGAGAACGGCTCAATTTGATAGAAACTTTCGTCTCCAGTCAAGATGGCGACATCAAGACACTCTTCATTGAAATGGAAAGCTTGCGAACACAAATCCAAGAGATGGAAGGTGACGTGCAAGCTGGTGCAAGTGTAGAACTTCTCAGGTCACAACTCGCTGATGCCAATAAGAAAACGGCGGAGAAGCAGAGCTCGCTCGAAGAGCTGAAGAGATCATTGGCCAGTGAACAGGGCAAGACGACGCAGCTGAAGTCTGCTTCGACTGAATTGGAAACCAAAGTAACTGCATTGGAAGCCTCCGTGGAAGCCGAAATAGCAGCAAAAGAAGCTCTCGAAGCAAAGGCCTTCGAGCTTGAATCGGTCATCACCAAGGAACAACTCTTGAAGGGAGAACTCGAGGCTAAGCTTGCTTCTTTGGAAGGTGCTGTAAAAGATGAGCAGCTTGCAAAGGGACTGTTGCAGGAAGAGCTCCAAGCAAAAGTGAGTGAACTTGAATTTGCTCTGAACAAGGAGCAACTTGCCAAGGGAGGGCTCGAAGGTGAGTTGGAGGCCAAAGTTGCTGCATTGGAAAGTGCTGTGAAAGATGAGCAACTAGCGAAAGCCTCTTTGGAAAGAGAGCTACAAGCGAGAGTGAGTGAGCTTGAATCTACTGTGAACAAGGAGCAACAGTCCAAGGGAGTCCTTCAAGGAGCGCTAGAAGCCAAAGTTGCATCCATGGAGTCGCTTCAAGGAGAGCTCTTCAATCTGAAGGAGAAGCTGGAACATGTCTCCGTTCGAGAAAGTCAAGTCACCGCAGAGCTCGAAAAGGCGGCTGCCGAGGGCATTCAGCTTCGAGAATCTCTCAGTGCCAAGACGAACACCGACTCATCTGAAAGCGAGACGAATAAACAAGAACTCTCCATCTTGAAGAGTGAAAAGAGTGCACTGGAGAACGAAGTGCAGCGCCTCTCCAAAATTTCGGAAGTGCTCGAATACGACCTTCAAGAAGCCAACAACGCGATGCAAGTTTACATTACGAAAGAAGTTTCTGATGAAGCCAAGGCCTACGCAACACAAGTTCTTCGAGAACAGCTGAACGAAATTCGTAAGAAAGCAGACGCCGATCGTGCTGCTGTAGCCGCCGAGAAAGAAGCAAAGATGGCGCTGGAAGCAGAAGTCGAACGTCTCAGGGCTGACCTCTATGCTCTTGTTGATGTCACTGACCAGGAGAACGAGATGTATGGCAAGCACGCGTTGACCATCAAAGCAACTGACAAGATTCATCGGAAGGAACGCAACGAAATCAATGAACTTCGAAAATCTCTGTCTCGAGCACTCGAAGAATTACGAACTTCTCGAACTGCCGAAAGGGATGCCGAGGAGCGTGCCGCAAAGGCTGCTCACCACGTCGTTGTGTGCGAGCAGGAGCTTGTAGCCGCCAAGTCTGATATGAGGTATTTGATTCAGACAATGGATGAGATGCGGCAAGACGAGGCATCGAGAAGGGCTTCTCTCGAGCACCGCATCATGACGTTGGAAAACGATCACGAGGTCTTGCAACGATTCCATGCGACCGAGACCGATAGCCTCCGAAATGAACTTACCCAAGCCGTGATGGAGAAGGATCGCACATTGCAGCTTCTGAAGGACGCGGAAAAGAACAATGCTGCCATGCTGTATGCAGCGTCAAGAGATCACTCTGCCAGAGCAGACGAGTCGTCGGAAACGGAGCTGGCAAAGCTGCGTATTGAAAAGGCACAGCTATTGGTTGCGGCTGCAGAAGAAGGCGCCAGAACCGAGCGTCGAATCCGTGAGGTTATTGCAACCGAATTGTCGAGCGCTGAAACGGATATCCTTGTGGAACGAGAAAAGCGTCTAGCCGCGGAGGCAGCGTATGACAACATGAAGTTGCTCGTGGCAGAATTGCAGAATGATGTCCAGGCGTATCGCCAGGAGTCTCGCTTGGGTCGCTCTCCTGGTAAGATGATGGTGGAGGCTGATAATAACCGCCTCAAGGATGAGTTAGAAAGGGCCCTTCAGGAGATTTCGTCGCTGCGCTCGCAACTGATTGCTGCTCAGAGCGCAGTGGAATCTGCCAACTATAGGATTGAACGGCTGACGGCTGATTTGCACGTGCAACAGGCGTCCTCAAACAGGTTGGGTCGTGAGATGAAATTCCAAACTGAGTTTCAACAAGAGATGTTACGCATGAGATCGACTCCACAGGCTGTTCGAGAAAATGACGATGGCGAAGAAAAGAAGGAGAAACGGGAAGACGAAATCCTGACTATTGTCGAGCTCTACGACAAGATCCATGAACAGGCAGAGGCACAGAAGCAAGCTAGAGAATGCTATCTAGAGCTGAAGAGTGCACACGAGGACCTCCTATCTTTGCTGGCGCAGACTGAAGAACAACGTCAGCACTTGGAAAGGGCATTGGTCGAGGCTCGTGGTCAAGCAGCAGTAGATGCTGTGAACGAAAAGTCGGACCAGAGTGTGATTGCACAGTACGGCCAGCGAGTGCGAGTGAAGACCCCTTAGCTCAATGATAGATTCTTATTACATGTATGTGCATAGATTGAAGTATTATGACCCTCAAGCTCTTTGTCTATCCGTATGCGCTGTTCCTTTCACTTCCACACAATCGTCTCGGAAGAAGGTTTGCGCTCGGGGTTTCGGTACGGAACAGTTGCTCCAGCAGCTGGAAAGCCCACAGGGAGCAGCAAGAACAACTTTTCATTGTCTGGTCGATCCAGCAATTCTCGAATCCCCTTCTCGGCGCCCATGGGGGTGGACGTGAGAGTGCATAGGTTGGCATTCTGAATGGCTGCACAAAGGAAACCACAAGCAATGCCCACCGACTCTTGTACATAGTAATGATCAATTCGTTTCCCAGTGTCTGGATCCAGGCCCCCGTGAGTTTGTTTGAAGACTGCAATCAGCCAAGGAGCTTCCGTCAGGTAGGGCTTTTCGATACGAATATTAGGTGGAGGTGATGATGATGATGCTTCTCCATTTGTTGTTGCTGCCATTTCCTGATGCAAGGAACTCATCATTGGTTTCAAATCGTCCACCCACGTCTTTCGCATGCGAGATTTGTAATTGATGGTTTCTTCCTCTTCCACCATGGCCCTAATCTTTTGCTTGATCCGTGGGTCCTTGATGGCCACAAAGGTCCATGGCTGTTTGTGGGCTCCACTGGGAGCCGTGGCGGCTGTCTGTAGGATATTGGAAATGACATCTTTGGGAACCGCATCATTGGAAAAGAATCGAAGAGTCCGCCGTTGCTGACAATTTCTCAACAGCTTTTCGGATCTCCGTCGAATCTGCCAAAGCGCAAGACGCTGATGAATGTAAGGGACATGAAAATGGCGGTCGTCACCATCTCCTTGTTTCTGCTGCTGTGCGCCCGGTTCGCCTTGATGGGCCACAAAATCGTCTTCGTCTGGTACGTTCCTACCAGGAGTTTTGGACCACCGGTAAACCAGCACTGCCGTGATGGCCGATGAGATGGCCACCAATGCAATCTTCTCGCTTTGGCTGACGTTAGTCATGGTGATACAGATCTCAACCAAAGAGATTGTATGTTGTGTTTTTGTTGCACTTTTCTCAAAATTGGCTGACTTGAAGCAAGCTCACTTTTGCTTCTTTGTGGCCCTCTAGCTAGCATTAATAACTACGGCACGTTCCATCACCAGGTAGCTACTAGTAGTTGGCTTGCTAGCTAGTAAGATTTCAAAGGACTTTGTCGGCCTGTTGGGTCTTCATTGGACTCTTTCAGAACCGAAACGAGCGGATGGGAAGGAAGAGGGAGGAATAATAATAAAAAGATAATGTACACAGGAAAGTAATAAAAATAATTTAAAATGGTGCCTCCCGTGTCAGCTGGTACTGTACCAGTAGAGTGTACCGGTACCTGTTAGCTGGGTTGAACACTCTTGATTGGCAGGGTTCCAGTCTAAAAACTGTCAATGTTATGAAGCTAGACTATAGCTGCTACAGCGTGACAATGGAGGCATTGTCCGAGTGCTTCTCGGCGACAACCGTGACGCCATGACAACTTTTGATGGCGGCTATCGGGAGCGGGAAGAGAGCCGGAAATCTTGACTAGCTAGCTCTTGATGTGATCCAGTGATAATTCTGCATAAAGACCTGTACCGGTACCGGTACCGGTTTACGGAATAGCACTGGTATGCGCCCTCGAAGGAATAAAACTTCCAAGTAGACGTCTAACCCACTCTTGAGAGCTCTCTTGAGGCAGTAACAGTTGAGTGCTGAGTGTTACCGGTACTGTAGCTCTTGCGGCTTAGAGCTTGCAAATGGAACACTTACCGGGAGAGTGTGGGAGTAAAGAATACAGTAAAGAATAAAGAAGGTCTTTCGTTGGAAGAAAGCTTCTAAGGAAGAATACACAGCAGTTGCCTTCCACATGCCACACATAAATGTTTTGGAAGAAGGGAACCACCTTCATCCCTTTCCGTGTCGCGAAGTGGTTACATGTAGAGTTTGACTTGCGCAGCTCTTGGGTGCTGGAGAACGGACCTTGGGTTGACGGATCTTGCTAGCTTCGGTTCAGGTCAGCCATCTGCATGCTACCGCCAGCAACTCAAAGGAGACTACCGACAGTGGCTGGCGGAGACAATGACGATGCTTTGACATCTGGAAATACCATTATTTTTCTATTAGTATACGTAACCATCTATGTAATATCTTTCTTTATCTATAATAGAAATTGATTGCTGCGTGCATTGATGTAGTCATCTTTTGTGTTGTTTAGGCTGCCATGGCCACCACAGCCGCATTGTCTGATTGTCGTTGTGCCACAACTGTTACCGATGTCTCGGCAGACACAATGATATTAGCAGCTTCCCTTGCACCCATTAGACACTCACATGGAACATCATTGACACTCAATATTGTATCTCTTCGGCTCAGCAGGGACTCCGCAAAGGGTCCTTTTGGATTGATACTAGAGACCTTGATCTGCTGCCCTGCTGAATGTGCAACACCCAAACCAGTTTTGGATGTTGGTGTTGGTTTGCGGATCATGCTCTCCACTAGAGTGGAATCACCGGTGGAATTCTGTACCACCACTGTCAATACACCTGTGGTTTGTTTCAAGAGCTTTCCAACTGCTGACAGATTCATGCCAGTACAACTTTGGTTGTTGATGCTGACCAGCACGTCACCTGTTTGGAAGGGAGCCTCTGATAAAAGACACTCTGGATTGTTGGACAAGGAAGATACTTGCAGGCTTCCATCCTTCCCTTTCTTGAGACCCATACCCAACTTGCTTTCCGTTGTTGGTTTCATTACAGTGGCACTGAGAAAGGCGGCACGGCGTCGCTTCTTGGATTTGTTTTCATCATGGTATCCATAGAGAACTGTTTGAGATGATACTGCGGAAAAGCAATCTACATTGACCGCCTTGAGCACTGGTAGATGGCAGCACTCTTCACCAGGAGCCATTGGTACATTGCCGCTGCTGGTGGAACTGTCGCTACTTGTGCTGGTATCACAGCTGACTTCAAACATGTCAAGGGCCTGAATGGCCAGCTCTGGTTTCAGAACAATCGTTGGAATTTCTACTTCCTCTTCTTCCAAGAGGGACGCGACAACTTGGACATCCGCCTTTGGAGGTGGTGTGGCTGTCTTCGCCATGGCCTGCTTCTTCTTCTGCTTGCGGCGACGGCTTTTGATGAAAAACATGATGATGGTGCTTCAAAATTTGATGTCTTGCTGTGGCAGATGGGGATCTTTTGTTTATGCGATGGATATGGCTGCTTTGATAGATAGAGATACCAGTGGTGTTGTGAAACAAATGTGTTTCGATCAGGCGGATACCCACAAGTTTGATCTGACCAATCGTTTCAGGTTTGATGATTGTCCTCTACTAGCTAGAGCTAGTTTTGTTCTGTGATCTTGACACTTGATAGTTTTGTTTGCAACAACTAAGGAAGTTGCATGCTCCGTACGGTACTAGTAGCGTCAAGTCGTCAAGTCTTCGCAGCTTTCTTCTCTTTCTCGAATAACCTGCAGTGTCAACAGCTGTCAACGGAGTATCAACAAACAGAAGCAGGTGAGCAGGATCGCTCGTGAGGTGCGTCGAAATCCAAGCGATGAAAAGGGTGAAAAGGTGACACTTCGCGTACCGGTAAGTGTTCAAGACACCACAGAACCCGGAATGGTGTCAGATCGCATCAGGAAAGCAGAGTGATAAGTCTTCTTGTACCACACAGTAAGTAGTAAAATTCACTATACAATAAGAGTGTACAAACATTCATCATTGGTTGTCCTACCGGTAGTCGTGGTGCACGTTTGAACCAAAGATTTTACTAATATCAACGTTTCGTTTCAAGTGTGAATGAAGAGCTCCCACCCAAGCCAGAGAAAGAGTTGGCACGAGAGACACGCGGCCGTACCGTATGTCTCTTTGGTTTGCGACAAGCTACTTGCAATCCCCACGAAAAAGGACCCAGCCGAGCTCCAGAGGGGCCAAGGACAAGGGCCAAATCAAACATTGTTGACAACTGCCCCACCGATCTTGGGATTTTAGAGGAGAGCTCGTTGTTTGGAACAACCAGCACTAGTTTCAGTAAACTCACTTTCTAGATTGGTTATCTCGCTTCCAGCGAGCCTGGTGTGCAAGTGCGGCAGTCGTATCAAGTTAGCAGCCACCGTGCCTGCCACACTGCCCTTCCAGGCAAACACAGTAGCAACCACAAAGGAGAGATGAGCAGTCAAAGACAACAGAATCCCCCAATGCACAAATCTCTGGAGACAAAGTCCCCGACAATGCCGTGTTGGAAACGTCGAGGAACTGGAGTGTGGTGCTTGATAAAACCCCAGCTTCTCCCACCAAGCTAGTGTTGGATACATCCAGCTCAACCAAGCCCAGTTCGAACAATTGGGAAGGAAGGCTAGATGTCAAAGCATTGTCCTGGAGATACAGCTTTTCCAGGCCATTCATGTTGGCAATCTCGCTTGGAACGGTGCCAATCAGAGCATTCTGATTCAGCGCAAGCCTGGGCCGGCCATTCCAAAGCCTCTTTAGTTCCGCCGTCAACGACGAGCTACTGGAGTTTCCCACGAAGGGGATCCAGCCGAGCTCTGAAGGGATCGTCCCCCGAAAGCCCCTGACAAGTACCAGATCAAACATTGTTGACAACCGCCCAAGCGACGTTGGGATTGTAGAGGCAAGCTCGTTGTTTGCAACAACTAGCACTGATACAAGAAGACGTGACGAGTTGTGAGCAGAGAGATTTACATACACATCTATTCGAGTGACAGGAAAACTCACTTTCTAGATTGGTTAGCTCACCAATTTCGCTTGGAAGCGAGCCTGATGGGTAAGTGTGGAAGTTGCATCAAGTGAGCAGCCACCGCGCCATTTTCGAACTTCCTTAAGAGGCTGCTTGAGCTATGTCACGTACCGGATAGAAGAGTGTCGCGGATGTAGAGTTGTATCAGCTCTGTAGACCAGCCGATCTCACTAGGAATCGTCCCTGAACAAGTAAAGCGGAGGGCATCTGTTGGCCGACGATTGAAGATATTCGATCCTGGCTGGCTGGCTGTCAGACAAATCGTGAGTTTACCTGATAGAGACACTCCATACATCGTCATGATGTGCAGCTTCCTAAGAGGGAACAAGTCTTTCGGTATAGTCGAGGTTAGAAGGTTAGGCCCCAGCATGAGCCAATGTAGGTCTGAAAGTAGGCCAAGCTGAGACGGCACCGAGCCTGTCAAAAGGTTCCCATCGACAGAAAAGAATCGCAGCTTCCTCAAGGCACCGATTGCCGTTGGAATGGTCCTTATCAAAGGCAAGCACATGAGTTGCTTCAAGACGAACATTCACGAGGAGATCAACAGTCGCTGAGTACACTTACCCACTGAGTAAATTCTGGGAACACCCAAACTCTGCTCGTACATCGCAGGTTATGCGGCAAAGATAGGCGGCAAAGATGGCGTGAGAATGATGCTTCCGAACAGGTGATCTTTCGTCGTCATCGAACGGCCTCACCAATGAGATTCGACATCAAACCAATCTCGGTGCTCAGGAGGCCCTCTAATCTATTGTTGTAGAGCTCAACGTGTGTGATATTCTCCATTGTTTTCAATAGACCTAAAGTGTCTTCAAGAGACCCAGAAAGACTATTGATGCCAAGTTGAATCCGTTTGAGCGAAGTCAACAAAGAGATTTCTTGTGGGAGCATTCCCTGGAGGCCATTTTGCCAGAAGACCAGTTGTTCGTATTGCCACTCAGCTTCCAAGTTCGACATGTTTCTGCATGGCGTTGTGGAGGGATGCGGGTAGTCATAAGGAACGTATCCGACTGTATTTTCGCCTTGGGAAAAGAATACTTGCCACAGGCACTCGTGGTGAGAGTAGCTTAGCCAATGTGTACCGTTCCGCCATGTTGAGTCACCGCCTGGCAAATCAGAGTAAATAGGAGGACATGAACAAAACACATAGGTTATTCACATCCTCGAAGCAGCCACACCTACCTGTAGCGTAGAACCAAGTTGCAAGAGCAAACCTCTGCAAGATACGATCCCTTGAAAAGGCGTTGAAGGAAGGATCTTCCAGCATCCACGATATGGCCTTTGCCTGGGTAGAGTTCGGTTGCAAAGCGGACTCTCGGCTGTATTGGGGCAAGTAAGACATCAGCTTTGCTCGATTTGATAGTGTCGTCGGAGCCTGGGTTGGGGGCAACGCGCCAGAGTTGCCAGCCGCTGAGCTGTCGGACAGCGACAAAGGAACCACGACACCCATGACAACCACCAAAGCACCCAAGGCAAGGAGGGCTATCGTTGGTGCGGACATACTCGTACGAGACGTGCTTCTGGACCTGTCTTCCCATTCCACCGCCTGAGGCATATCCTCTTTTGTAAAGTCTTGTGACTCTGAGACAAGGTTTGCAACGACCAAATTGGAATCTCCGATGGTTGGCGGCATTAGCCTTTCGTCGTAAGCAGTACCTGGTGCGTCTTCTAGGTTCCTCGATTGCACCGACTCATCGATGATGTTCAATTCAACTGGCAACGATTCTATCGTACTTACTTCGACTTCAAGCTGAGCCACTTGTATCCTCTCAGCGGCTCCACGTCGGAGCCCTGCCTTCGATCCCGAAGACTGTGGGCGTAAGTTTGGTCGCTGCTGCTTCTTCAACTGTCTTTCAGAAGCACCTCTTGCCAGTCCAGCCTTTGTGGCCGATCCGGTGGAACGAGTCGAATGCGTTGAACCTGTGCCCCTCGTCGACATGCTATGGTCGCTGCTTGCGGGTATTGACACAACCCCCGGAGTTGAAGCAACATCATTCTTTGCATGCCTTCTCAAACCTTTTTGTGGGAGAGATTGTAGCGGGAGAGACTGCAGCGGGAGAGCTACATCATTTCCGCGATGTGCCGTTGTAGCGACGGATCGCACTGCTGTGTGTGTTGCGGCTGCCAACCTGGTTTGGGGAGCTGGCATCTGACCAACGGAGGTGTCTTTGAGTTGGTTGGAGATCTGTGAAGAGCTGGCGCTTGAAGCCTTGGGATTTTCCAATGGAGACCTGTTCACCAACGTGCGGAGCGCTTCGGGTTCCAAGTCCCCGTCACTGGGGGGAGACACGGCTTTCGCTTCCTCGCAGGAGCCACCAGACTCCCCAGCACCTCCATCAGTAATAAGATTTGACATGTCTCGTGCCTCTCGTACGTCCCCATGTTCTGTCAGCCATGGAAAGGAACCGTCTGTTGCCATGGGCGCCATATCTTGATTCTGAGATTCCTGTCTGGACTTCTCCAGTTTTGATTCATCGCCAATCGAAGGAGTCTTTGCAGGTCCCAGCGATTCAAACACTGCCGCCTCGACAACGCCCTCTTCACCGCCTGCCGTTTTGGGGACAAAATCTTTCGCCCCGCCCTCTCGAGCTTCATTCTTGTCTGTGTTCATGCTGCTTGTTTTGAAACCTCCTTGACTTGTGGTTGAGAATGAACTGCCTCTTCTTGCTTGAAGGGAATGTAAGTTCGGGCGATGCCTTCACCTGATGATGTTGTTATGAAATTTTGAGCCACCCATCTAACTTTTCAGTTTTATGCCCGAGAGAGCAGTCCTGCTGCAGCATGTGTTCACCCACGTGGAACGGCTAAGTGATATGAATCACACCAAAACCCAAGTTTATGTGCAATTACTGAACAAGCCGAACTGCTGAGCAGCGGTAGCACCGTTTGATCTGCATTGCAAGGCAAGATGCCCCTCTTCCTGAATGTTCCAATTTCACCCGAGGGTCCTCTTTGTGTACCGGTACCTGGTACCCGAACGTTCTTGCAACGTACGTGTACCGGTAGAACTCAGTCAATAGACGTAGTTTTGCCTCGTTTCGGAGCGTACAACAGCTTCAAAGGCAGTTCTACGGTACCTAGTATTTCTTATTATTTGATCGTGCACAAAACATGGGAGGCCGTGAATGGGCGTGGTTTACCACGAACTTGTACTTGATCCAATCTCGCACCGTTCGTGCTGGCAACCAAGTCCATTCGACCGCCCCCCCAACACTAAGATCGTTCTACATTTAAGTTTCCCCATGATTGTTCTCGAACGTCGCAAATCTCCTCCTTCAGTACATGGTAGCATCGACAATGACGTCGAGGCCACGTTCGTTGCGAATCTGACTAATGACGGCATTTGGCGGTGGAGGTTTGTTGTTGTTGCGACTACTTGAGGACGATTGACTCCTAGCATTGCGACGACTCGTTCGGCTGATGCTGCGACCAGCCCTCTTGGCACTGTTGCTGCGACCAGTGACGGGAGGCGACACTCCACGGTTGGGCATCATCATCATGGCAGGCCCAGGATATCCAGCCTGCGTAATTTGCTGCACCAGTTTTTCGCCCGCCGCCTGTACCTTTTCGTCGTACCTCCACAGTTGCAAGATCCGATGAATGATTTCGAGGTGATCCGTCTGTGTGACTTGTTCCAAATTGGCCGGACTGCGGTAACATAAATGGGTAAGTAGCGTCATGCCACGGGCTTGAATGGGGACCAATGTGCAATCGGCAAACTTGTGGAGTGCTTCAAACACCAAGGGTACTCCGTGAGCAGCAATTTCTTCATCCAAGGTAGTGTTCATGGCATGAATAATGATATTCGTCAATGTCCTCCATGATTCTGCCAACACGTATGGATCATCATTGTGATGTTGCATCGTCTTGAGCAAAACGGCGTGTCCCTGTTTGAGAACGAGTTCATCACTAATCGTCTTGAGGCATGACAAACTGGTGAGGGCATAACAAGCTTGTCGTTGGACCGTGGCGTACTCGGGGTGTGTCATCATGGCTTGTAGAATCCGTGAGATTCCCTTGTGTCGTGTCACTTGTTGCTTGGCGGTGTCAAAGTACTTCATGATATTCTTGAGCGTCCGACACGCTTCTTCTTGAACGGCTTCTTGTTCAATGTGTGTCTTCATGGCAGTCAGCACAACTTCAATACCTCCCTTGAGGACAATACTCTTTTGATTGGGCAAATGCGAATGCGCCACCAATTCTCCCAATGCCACAATTCCATAGTACTGTACGGGAATATTGCTGGGAAAGTTCCAAAGCGTGGAAATGACGCAGTGATCGGCACCGGCAGCGACCAGTCCTTCTTGCAATTCCGTGGTGGACATGCCATTCTTGTGGTTTCCAGTTTGATTGCGTCCATCCTTGAGGACCTTTACGACGTGTTTGAGAGACGCGGTGGCTTCTTCCGTCGTAATGGCTTGTTTGAGCGTCAAGACGACATATTCTAGATTGAGCGAGTCTTCTCGAGCCGAGTGTCCACAAAGCGCCAGTTTGGAAAACGCCTTGGTAATGCCCTGATGAGAGTTGTGAATGGGTCGTTTGCGGACTTTCTGATACGACTGGATGCTCTGATTTTCCTTGGTCATGGTGGAAACCGAAGTGGACGAGAGATTACAATCAATCTCTGGATGTGGATGGGTGTAAATGAGGTCTTCAGTATGGTAAGCTTGTTTGACTTTTGTCTTTGTCCTGGAATCTTTGATATCCAAAGAGAGTACTTTGATGACTTCGTCGACGCGGCGTGGGGACCGACGGTGAGTGGCGGCGCCTCCTCCTGTGGATGGGGTCAGGAGTGACCTAGAAGTACTGGTCGTTGTGGACGGTAGGTTCTGGCGATGAGTCGACCAGAGAGACAAGCTCGTAGCAGCTGTCTGATTGGACTTGGCAGCTGACCGCTGGGACTTGTCGGCCAGCAAAGAAAGCAACGAAGTAGACTCGTCGGCCACCGTGGTTGGCTGCGTCGAATGAAACGAGCTCGTGAAGAGAGGGAATCCGTATTCGTCGTAATGAGAGGAAGGTGATGAGGCAACCGCAGTTGGGATTTTGTCGTCGTCGCCGTTGTCACTCAAGGAGCGTACTTTGGGAGAAACGGGCGTTGTTGTCGTTGTGTAGAGATTGGAACTAGTGGTCAAGATGGTCTGGTCTGGGTAAATCTTGTATCCGCCGTCGTCTTGGTAGGTCAACGTTGCTGTAGCTTCCACTCCAAATCCAGCATCTTCTTCGTCGTGCGGAAACAGGTGCCCTACGGATGCTGGGCTACTACTAGTAGTGGGATGCTCTTCTTTTTCAGGAGGAGGTGTTGACTTTTTATTCTTGCTGCTGGGACTCGTCCAAGCGGAAGTGCTTTGGGTCAGCGCCACTTCAAACGAAGAGAAAAAATCATCCAGTGAGTCTCCCGTGGACCCTTCATCGAACGGCCGGTACACTGTCATCTTCGTAGATTTGAATACAGTCAAATTTCTTTAGTTTCTGAAGTCAAGAAACGTGAGTGGGGGGAGTTGGAATCTCACGTTGGGTAATTACGCCATGGCTCCCAACAACATGTGATCCACAACAACCAACACCCCTTCACAATATTGGCGCCTTTCTGCTCACTTTTTGGCCCGACCCGCGATGCCAAGATTCCTCGCATGGCTGTTCGACTGCTGTTGCTTGCCGCGACTAAAGTCGTGTGAGGCAACAGGCAACTCTGCTTCCATGTTGCTCCATAGTGCATGGGAGTTGACAACCGTGAACGTTTGCCAATGGGACCCAGGTCTGGAAGGCCCGCGGGATCACTTCGCCCAACCTTTTGTCACGCACACTCTTCCCAAAGAGATAAGGTTCTGTTTGTCACAATGGACAAGAACAATGACTTGCCATCGCAGCTACACTTGCCCAAGTACTAGTAAGTGTTGAAGCGGCTTTTCACACATCCAGATTTGTTTGATGACCCGAATTTCTCCCTCTAGCGCCCACAACGAGATATGCCGTAGTCCAGCGTGTTCAAAATTAATGGACACCATAGAGAGCAATGACTTTATTACCAATCCTGGTTGGCTTTCATGCATCCTGATGTTTTGCCTGGCTAAAAATTCTAGTATCCTCGTCCCTGCAAGGGGAGCGCCGACAATAGTCTGCAAAAAGCCAATTACAGGAAACAGATTACGAGTAATTCATCAGCAAAAAAGAAAGCAGAGCATGTTGCTGCCTCCTTCGGCTACTACATGCATGACAACTTTTTTACATCCAGGCTCGCTGTCTTTCAAATGTTGCTGAGGCCCAGCACAACTAGCCGAAAAAAGTGCTCATCTAACAACATCTTATTGTCCTAATAATATAACCAGTTTAAAGGTAGTGTACATGTACAGACAGAAATGGTCACAGGGAGATAGTATAATGGTTTCAAAACGCAAAAGGCACTTGGTTTGCCGAATTGTTGGTTAATCAGTTTGATACAGTTGTGTTGTGGATTGATTGCTGAAAAGGAATGGCGGTTTCTTTGTTTCTTTGTTTCTTTGTTTGCGACGATTTGGAGTGTTATTGTGCCATGGCCATGACAACGGCACTTTCGTGTCGCCGCTCCGCAATGACGGTGACCCGATCTTCTGCTTGCGCCACAATGGCAGCGGCTTCTCTAGAATCCAACGAATGACAAGGAATCTCATTGATGGAAACAATCAAATCCATGCGATTCAGGATGGAATCGGCAAAAATGCCATGGGGGTGAATGTCGTAGATTGTGGCGCGACTGTAGCCATTGGAAATGACACTGAGTCCAGTTTTGGAGGTTGGTTCTGGTTTGTAAATCATACTCTCCACCAGGGTCGGGTCTCCCTTGACATTTTGTACCACCACAGTGAACGTGCCCGTGATGGTGCGCAGCAACCGCGCTGCCACACTGGCTCTCATTTCTTGACAGTTGAGTGTGTTGATGCTCACTATTCGATCTCCCACTTGAAAGGGAGAGTGCGAAAAAAGACCTTCTTCGTGAATGGAAGAAATGGTCAAGGCGCGCCCACCCTTTTTGCTGTTGTTGGAGAGACAGAGACCAATTTTGTCATTGCGGGTTTCTTTGTGGACCGTCGCGCTGAGCAGAAAAGCACGATTGCGTTTCATGGAGGTGGCCAATGCAGCCCAGTGTGTCCTGGCTTCGCTGCTCTTGACCGGGCGAACATCACAGATGGGAACCCGAAAACTATCTGTAGTGACATTTTGGTTGTCACTGTCTGACATTGCCTCGTCCGATGCTTGCTCCGCATTGGTGTCGTTCTTCGAGTCGTATTCCAACGTCAAAGCATCCGCCAAATGAATTTCATGGTAAGGTGAAAGGTGAATGGTCGGAATTGAGTCAAACTCTTCGATGCTGTTGTCTTGGAGTGCCATGGTGAAGGAAACGTCTTTATGCAACGAATAGTCAAAGGAGCTTTGAAGGGATCGTCTTCTGTTGCTGCTATTGCTGCTATGGCGGGTCTTCTTGACTGGCGCGGTCTTGTCTTTTTTGTCCAGGTTTTTTGACGATGTGGTGGGAATAATGCCAGGACATTGAAAGGCAGTTCCGAGAAAACTTCGATTCGTGCGTGGTTGTCAACTCCCTCAACGTTGCGCCTCAAAAATTTTGAGACTCTTGGGAAGGGGTTCGAAGAATGACGTCAACGAAACGTGGTTGAGTGTCGTAGGCACTGACTGTGCAGACTCTTCAGGATTCTCATTCAACTCTGCAAGCAAGTCCAGTCGGACCCGCCATCGCGGCAAAGCAATCGCGCCAATGCGCCAATCAAATAGAAGTGAAGGGGACTAACGAACTAACGAACCACCACGGTCATTGTGGCATTGGTTGGATTTAAAGCTCTTTTATCCAACTGTTATTGACTGTTGAGGCTTGTTCTTTGGCAGTGCACTGTATCATAGTAAGTAAGTCCCGAGGTTCCTCTATCGAAGCTTTAGATCCGCGGAATGTACAAAGTAAGTTTTAATGCAATCTACTCGTAGGTGTCACGAAGATTTAAAGCTATCCTTGGAATAAAGTCATTTAATGATCTTAGCAGCGTGTCGATACGTGCACCTCCTGCTCAGCTTCCAGACAGCACGCTGCTCAGCTTGCTACCGTACAGTACTCAGCTCGTCATCGACATCAGACGAGAAGCTGCTCAGCAGTACCACCGGTGTACCGGTAACTTTTTACCAGCCATCGCACATTTTACAAACGTTCTGATTTCTGATATCTCACAAAACCACAATCGAAGTGATCAAAGCCTGACAACTTGATTTCAATCCTTTGCCGTCAAACTTCTCTGGGCATTTATTCAACCACAAAGAGGACCCTCCACCATGATTTTCCGAAAGCGACGCACAATCCAACAACAAAAGCCACTGGAAGATCGGCAGGGAGCTGCAATGAGAGAACAGATCGGCAACAAAACTTGCCATGCAATTGTTGGAGAAGAGGAGATTCCCACAATTTTACTGAAAGCCGAACTGGCCATTCAACCTCTTGACATGTTTGCCGCCACTGTTAGCACCAATCATTGCGACACCAACACGTGCAAGAGCGTCGCCGACGGTAACGATCTTGTTCCCTTGGCCCCTGGTGAAGTGCAAAGCTCCAGCAATGACTGCATTGGCAAATACAGCCATCTACCAGTGCTCACGGCGGTCAATGTGGATAGCTTTTCCGCAGTATCATCTCAAACAGTTCTCTATGGATACCATGATGAAAACAAATCCAAGAAGCGACGTCGTGCCGCCTTTCTCAGTGCCACTGTTGTGAAACCATCCACGGAAAGCAAGTTGGGTATGGGTCTCAAGAAAGGGAAGGATGGAAGTCTGCAAGTATCTTCCTTGTCCAACAATCAAGAGTGTCTTTTATCAGAGGCTCCCTTCCAAACAGGTGATGTGCTGGTCAGCATCAACAACCAAAGTTGTACTGGCATGAATCTGTCAGCAGTTGGAAAGCTCTTGAAGCAAACCACAGGTGTATTGACAGTGGTGGTACAGAATTCCACCGGTGATCCCACTCTAGTGGAGAGCATGATCCGCAAGCCAACACCAACATCCAAAACTGGATTGGGTGTTGCACAGGCAGCCGGGCAACAGATCAAGGTCTCTAGTATCAATCCAAAAGGACCCTTTGCAGAGTCCCTGCTGAGCCGAAGAGATACAATCTTGAGTGTCAATGATGTTCCATGTGAGTGTCTAATGGGTGCAACGGAAGCTGCTAATATCATTGTGTCTGCCGAGACATCGGTAACAGTTGTGGCGCAACGACAATCAGACAATGCGGCTGTGGTGGCCATGGCAGCCTAAACAACATGAACTACCATCAATGCACGCCCTTACAAGAAGAAGAACTACAGTAGAGAGAGAGAGACCACCTGGGAATCCAAACCACATCAATTGAAACAACACGCACACAGACTCAAACGGTTGGCGCTTCAACCTTTTCGATAAAGTAATACTTGATTTTGATTCACCTTCACCTTCACCTTCATGCTATCCTTGTTGTGTCCAGCGAGATGTTGCTCCCTCCTTGGGTAGTGTACCGTAGATTGCCCTCAACGGACTGAGGGTCTTTCACACTTTTATCGCTGTATGTGTGTGTGTGTGTGTGTGTTTGTTGCAGCTGTTTTCGTCACATAAGGGACACTTGCTTCGTTAAGGATAGGGATTAATATTGTGTGTTCTGTTGGACACAGTAGTTTCTACACATGGGTACCGGTACTGGCTGCCTATGCAGACTCGCTAGTGTGTCCAGATAAACACGGTGTAGGTTTTGCCAAAGACATAAGGGACATTTTCCTTGTTAAGGATAGGGATTGATATTGTGTGTTCTGTTGGACACAGTACTCTGGACCTGTACTGGCTGGCTATTGAGACGTGCTAGTGTGTCCAGTTGACCAAAGATGTTAAGGATTTGATTCCGGAATCAAATCTCTTTTTGACAGTTGAGGGCATCAGCCTCCGGCTGCTTGTTCTAGGTTTTGCTAAAGCATACCCAGTAGCCAGTACTACAGTGTATTGTGAGGCGGAGAAGGACAACGGTACCTCCCGGCATTGATGGATCGAATCACGAGGCGTTGAATTCGTGAATGCCAATTTGACACCGGATCCAGTTCCGAAAGGATCTTTTGAAGCCAACAACACCTCAACACCCTCATCAGACTGACAAGGCGATGCCAATGCCATAAGAACAAACATCCTGCGGAAACCGAATCCTTTCCTTTGATTGATTTGTCTTTGGGAAGGCTACTCTTCGTTCGCAGCTTTCATCATTTCTTAATAAAGTTGCTACAGTATGAAGATGCTATTACCCCCTTTATTGCCTTGGTTGTCTCTGTTTCTGTTGTGGAGTGACAGTCCCACACTGGCATTATCTCTCTCGGACGCTCCGAAATCTGCCGTGATTGTGGGAGGTGGTCCTGTGGGGTTGGCGACCGCGTTGACCTTATCGAATCCACCACATTCGTATGATGTCACCGTCTTGGAGCAGGCTTCGGTGGAACAGTACGATCCTACCAAGGCGTACTTGTACAATGTCAATCCCCGTGGTCAAGTATGGATGAAGGAACATTTCCCAGGAGCCTTGGCCAAATTGCAAGCCAGAGGATCCCAGGGTAGCATGAGTCGCATCACCATTGTTCCGGCCGATCCACAAACACCCATTCCTCAAATCAAAACGTTGGACCGATACGATACCACCAAGAATAATCCTCAACAAGATGGAGAAGCAGAAGAAGCAGAAGTGGAACAGAGCAGTAGTGTGGCACTCAAAGACGACAAGGTCGATACTCGAAACTATTGGATTCCTCGACACAGCATGATTTGTCTCCTCGAAGACGAAATCAAGGAACAAGAAGCCGCTCGCATGGCCTCGTCCACAAAACAAGTGGGGGCCATTCACCTCAAAAAGGATCGAAAATTCGCCTCGCTGACACCATCGGAAGATGGAACCGTGAAAGTTGCCGTCCAAGAAGTGACCACTGGTGAAACCGAAACTTACTCTGGTAGTCTCATTGTCGCGGCCGACGGATTCAATTCGGCTGTGCGAGATTGTTTGGCCGATGACAAGCAGACATCGTGGTTGCAAACCAAACCGGCCCAATTCCGTGTCAAGCGATGGAAATCACCCGGTACGTACTCTTCTTTGTTTGGTTGAGACTGAAAGTGGAAAAAAAGTCTGCATATTCTCTGATGAATACAATATGTTTTCATTTTTCTCTCCTTGGATGTCTTTAGCCTCGGGACTTCGCATGAAGGTAATTCAAATGCCTCCTGGCTTTGGCATTCCCGATTCCGATGGCACACTCAAGACCACCGAAAATGAATACACCTATGCGATTCGGCCAACCTTCACCGGATTCAACAATTTTGTCAGTTTGGGATTGTTGCCCGTCAAGGATCCATCCATGATTCGACCGGCCAATGTCATTACGCGTCCCGACCACGATATTTGGACCAAAGTCACCGATGGACCCACCGCCAAGGCGTGGTTTTCGGAAGCCTATCCTCGCTTTCATTGGGACGATTATGTCGACGATGCCGAGTGGGACCGATTTGCAAAAGCTGCAGGAACCACATTTCCCTACTGCCAGTACAGTCCGGGATTGCAGGTCACTGGGCCTCAACAAACCAGTGGTGTGGCGTTAGTCGGTGATGCAGCGCATGCGTTTCCACCCGATATTGGACAAGGAATCAATGCTGGTCTGTGCGATGTCGTGGCGTTGGATAGAGCTTTGAGAGGAAAAGATATCATTACGGGGAAGGAAGGAGAAACACCCGCCAATCTGGGTGCTGCCCTGAAAGAATATGAGCGAGTGCAAGGTCCTCAAGTACGTACAATAATGCACTGTGATTCTTTGGATTGCTGCGCTGACAATTCAGAAATTTATTGTTTGCTTATAACTTGTCTTTCTTCTTGCCATTCAACAACAATCTATCTGCGAAAAACAAAACAATCCACAAACAACAGATACGATCCTTGATTCGCATTTCACGGTTTGGCTTTCCGTATCAGTATCGACAATCGTGGTTTCGAGATCGCGTTGGTCGGCTGCTCTTGACGTCCAACATTGCCTTTCGCATGCTCTTGAACAAACTCAGCTTTGGAAAGATCCCGCCTTCGTGCATTGTGCTCCTGCAAAATAGTCAGTTGACCTATCGGCAAGTCATGAGACGGGCTGACCTTACGACTGCAGCTTTTTGCGTGGTGCTGTTGGCTTTTCTCTGGGCAAAGTTTGGAATGATGTTGATGAACATCATTGGGTTGGCCATTTGAGAAAGGAATGTTGCAGTGAGGGACTAAACAAAGACAGTACGGTACCTCTTTGTTTGAAGGCATAGCTATTATAGAACAGCAAGCCATATGATGACATGGAAACGTCACTCAAGAATGGATTCCTGGATCCGAAACAACCCTATGTAGCCACCTCTGAACTTTGAGTAACAAGAAGCATTGAGGGCACCAGACTTATTCGAAGTTAGCAAAGACTAAAACTCAGCCTATCTTAATATCATCCTAGCTAGCACGTCAGGTTACTATTGGCTAGGTTGAACCAAGTCATGGCAACTCTGTCTAGCCGGTCGAGCCATCTTTCGTTCCTTTCCCATTCGATTTAACTGTACATTTTGGAGAGATGCTCGAGAGCATGATCCAGCTCATCGCAGGCTTTGACATCCATGGTTTGTTTGGCTCGCATGGCAGCTTGCATCACTTTGTGATGGATCTCTAGTGCTTGAAAGTAATCCGCCTCGGATGCGAAGGATGCCCTCTTGACGCGTTGACAGAGGCAGTAGTCTCCCATAAGGTGGATAATCTTGTTGCAGTGTTCTTCTTTAGTGGCAATCCAACGCACCACTTGATTCAAATCAATCATGGCAAGGGATCCTTTATTCTCGTTCTGGTAAAGCGTATTGCTTTGGACCATGGCCTTGCGAACGGTCGTGGCTGCTTGCTTTACTTCACTCACCATGCCCGGGTCATCAAAGATTCCACAAGGCACTTGACAGTGCATACGTGTCTTGTTGTCGTTATTGCTGATCGTCAGTAGTAGGGAAGCAGCAGCCACGGCAACAAGCGCCGACGACCGACTGAAGGATGCCGTGGTGGCTTTCGGAGCTACTGTGGAAATCGTAGCAGTCCGAATCAAAGCATGGTTCTTGGCGAACTTGCTGTAGCCGACTTGGCGGCTTAGCTTGGTTGCAGCACTTCGAAGCATCATCTCTGGCTCTTGGACTGGTTTGTACAGTCGTATCACAAGTTGGAATGGATATGCATGAGAGCACCAGGGCATTGACGTGTTTCTTTCAGGATCTTCTGTGATTTACAGTATCTTTTGGAAGGACGCTGATGTTTTAAATTTGAGATGTCGACCTGGCCTCATCCCGGTTCGGTCCCAGTTGCGCACGCATTCTTGAAATCGGATGAGTGAGGCCAGTCTAAGCAATCAGACTGCGCAAGTCCGTCAATCCAAGAAAGATGAAAGTGAGGACCAGCGGCGAACCTGCAGCGCACGCACGAGAGGAACTCGCCACTCTGGAGATGAAGCCCAAAAGGTAAGCTGTTTCCGGGAAATTCTGGCCAGCAAGATTGCTGATCATCTTGATCTCACAAATCACTAATCCAAAAGATACAAAGCTAGCTAGCCACAAACAAAAACCTCTTCACATTCCCTTTAAATCCAAAGTCAACCAACAAGATGAAAGTTTTTTCTGCTTCACTCCTACTCCTTGCATCCATGGCGTTTGTTCCTGCCCATGGAAGGCTCCGTAGCACCACCTCAGCAATGGACAGCGTGGGCTTTTCTTTGGTAACATGGTTAATGCAGTTGGAGATGCAGTTGATAATGCAGTTGATAATGCTGGTGGGATTGTTGAACCAGTCGGAGATGCAGTTGATAATGCAGTTGGAGATGCTGGTGGCATCGTTGATGCAGTTGGAGAAGCAGTAAATGGTGCTAGGGATTCAGTTGGTAATGCAATGGAATCAGTTTTTCAAAAACTCATGCCCGCACTCACCAATAAACTTGGCGGTGCCTTTATTGAAGAGCTTGGGGATCACATGGATCCCTTTATTCCTTTCAGTGGGCACAACACTCACACATGTGCAATGCTTGGTGAATGCACCGATGGTACGAGTGCTGTTTCCATATCCATCAATGAAATTACTGGACTTAGCAGTGTCACATTCAACAGTATGACCATGGAAACTCCACCAACCTTCAAGGCGACCAACTTCAAGATTAAAGGGGAGGGAGGAAACTTTGAAATTCAGGCCAACATTGAAAAGCTACAAGTTAACAGTACCTATACACTAGCATCCACGGACTGTGGTATGTCGGTTGATACATCCATGACTGGCATTGTGGAGATCGCTGGTGTCAAAACAACCTTCAATCTGGACATTGACGGTTTCTCCAAGTACACTGGACAGACCAAGATTACTGACTTTGAGGTCAAAGACTTTTCATTTGACACATCGGAAGCAACTCTCAGTGGAGACACAGCTATTGTCACAACTGTTGCCTCATCAAATGGCGATGTTGAAATCAATGCTGATATCACAGACTCTATCGAGTCATTTGTGGATGAAGCGCTGGAAGGAACTCCCAAGGACTTTTCCCTGTCCTTGATCAATGACTTTGCCAATAGTTTCCTTCCCATGGTGATAAATTCTGGGGCTTTCACACTTTGAACTGATGAAGTGAAGACAAGAGATCAAGGACTCAAATGGAGGGGAAAGACAGAGACGATGTACATCAAAGAAGAACAAAGAATAGACAATAGAGCTCATAGATCTTTAGCAGAAAACTATTAAAAAAGAAGCGGGCGTGTGAAAACAACAACACAGGCCATAGCAGATGTTGAGAAAGGAGAAAGGCAGAGCTCCACGATTCGATTGTGATTCAGCCACTCTCTTCAGACATATCTTCAGCTAGCGGCACCTCCCATCCACGAGGCAGCAACGAAATTCACGAGAGCAGCGTCTGGCTAGCAGGGCGTATCACACACCCGTACCAGAACCTCCAAGAAGCCACGCAAGAGTGCTTGAACGCAAACGTGCGCTCTTTGAGAATGCTGCTTGTTCGGCGCTCGTGCCAGTGCTACCGGTATCGGAACCACAACCTTTTTTTTTGCAAGGGCGGCTCACTGCAGTGGATCATTCGTATCCACGTTTGCAAAAATGAGGCTGGGTGGGGGCCCCCATCACCAAAAAAACAACCGAAGAAGAAGAGGCACAAGCCGCCATACCCCGAGGTTTATTAATAGAAGTATTGCAGCGGTTTAAAAGTCGGTCTAAAGATGCCCAGAGGATACTTGAAGCACTGCCATCGAGCTGGCCGCAAAAGAGCCCGCGGAAGCGGAAGCCACAGCGTCCCAGTGTCCCAAAGGCAGGCCAAAATCGAAAAGGGGCAGAAACAGGACTTCCCTCCGTACATTGGAGAGCAATCTCAAATAGCCCAAGACCTTGCTTGCGGGCGCTACGACTTCTCTCTTGCACAAGCCGGCCCCCTGAGACGCCTACAAGGCATAACCGAAGACGACGCTGCTGACTGGTACAACGAAGACGATGAAGCCTTCTACTTCGAGGAGGAAGGCGGGCATGAGGAGGAAATGAATAACGAGGAATCCGTTCCTGCCAATGCAAACAACGTGCGCGATGCGAGCTTTCATGCCACCGAAGACGAAGAAGGAAGCTTTGTGGCTGTAAGCGACTTCAAACGCATTGGGGGTGCCAGCGTTTTGGCCGCCAGCAGCATTGGCAGCTTCTCTATCTGCGATCATTTTGACGATGAGTCGATGTTTTCCTTGATCTCTGAATCTCCAGACTATGCCATCGTCGACGTGGAAGATGATGAAAACGGAGAAGGCTATCATGGGGGCACTTCCGACTCTTCTGGTGAAGGTGTGGTGGAAACGCGAGTTTCTGGTGTGGCCGAGTTGCACCAGGCTCCTTCTGTCTGCTTCATTTGTTATGAAGAAAAGCCGTTGGTGAAAGTAATGAAGAAATTCCGCCATCCGTTCGCTTGCTACGACTGCCTTCGCCGACACTACGTTGTGAATGCACAACAAAACATCTCCAACTACCCCCTCCAGTGTTTTTGGCCAGACTGTGAAAGAATCCTGCGGGATGCCCAGGTCCAAAAGTTTGTCGAGACCAAGGAAGAGATGCTGACTCACTATGAAATGGAAGCCCAAGCCAAAGCTCTACGGAAGCGCCTCCCCTTTTTCAAGGATGTTCACGAATGTCCGCACTGTTCCTGTGCCAATCTCGTCCGGCCCTATCGAGGAACCAAGAGACAGACAATCGCGGACGATACCTACAATATCGAATGCACTCAATGTTCCCGATCATTCACTGCAAGAAAGCTCCCAGCAGAAGAAATTCTGTCGGTTCTGGCTGCAATTGGGACAATGTTCTGTAACTGCCCTTCCTGTGGCGCCTTTATCACCAAAGACGGAGGCTGCGATCACATGACCTGCATTGTCTGCGATTTCGACTTTTCCTTCCAACAAGCTGCTTTTGATAAAAACGTATACGTGTAATAAGAATCCCAATATGTATTTTTGTAAAAGGAACTCTGAAATCGCCAATGCCCCTCGGTTTATCTTGTTGGCGCTTGCGTGGCTTGATGTTTGGACTTGGCTGCTTCCATCAACCACAGAGGCCAACATCTCCATTTACCATATCAGAGACAGGCAATTATGCACCGTTGGGATCCAAACCCTGGTGTTGATTTTTATATCCCATTCTCACATCTTTGTTGCCAGGAACGACCATACCACGATGACAGCACCGCTTCCCGTCTGCTCATCGAAGTTAAGCATCGTCGGGCCAGGTTAGTACTACGGTGGGGGACCACGTTGGAATCCCTGGTGTTGTTCTTTTTATGCTGCCGGTCCAGTTGTTGATGATGTTGTTGCCGTACCGGTACTTGGTAGCAGAGGAAAGAAACAAGTTGTTGTTCTTGTTGACGATTGGGTTGGTTGGACCCAGGAAAGGAGGTGCAAACAGGTTATGAGCCAAAATAAAGGTCCGGTCCCAGTTGTTGCAAGTTCATTCTTGAGTCAAATTTGCTCATGACTCGACACCACGCCGGGTGATGGGTCCTCCCTCGCTCAAAAGCCAGGGGGTTATTGAACCATCGCCACTTAGACATCATCATCTGGTTTGTTGGAGGCAACTTCATCTCTGCCTTTGTATCACCCAGGCCATGGACAAGGAGGCGTGCTGCTGTGACGGGAGTTATAGTAGTATCGCAGTAGATTGGGAGAGCACCCATTAAGATGGGTAGGTCGCAGTACCTGCTGAACCGATCGAAGCAACGGTTCAAGAAGAATCATGGACGCAACAATGGTGGGGTTGGTGATTCCATGTCTTGGACTTCTTCGTTCGATGAATCATCGATACCACCACAGGCACCACCAACGCCAACGCCACCATCATCATCTGCTATGAAGCATGTCCAGCAAAGGTATCAGCAGCAGCAACAACAGCAGCAACATTTGCAGACCGCTTACAATGATGGTTATCAACCTCAGCAGCAACAACAGCAGCAGCAGGGATATCAGCAACAGCAGCAGGGATATCAGCAGCAGCCACAGCAGCAGGGATACCCTAGACATCATTCGCCAATAAGAAATCAGTCCCCCATAAGACAGCAGTCGCCACCAAGGCATCGGTCGCCGCAACCAATTAGGCAGCCGCCGCCTCAGGCGCAATCAAAGAAGCCACACCGTGAGGGGTATCCAAACCGGCCAGAGGAACGACAGTTTCGTTCCAACGCAGCCAATGACAACCAAGCTCAGAAGCAACAGCCACAACAACAGCTACCAATCTATACACCCAACACAATAAAGGGTGAAACGATGGAATTGGGGGTAGGCAACATCCATGATCAGAATGACAGCATTCCTACCAATGTCGGTGAAGGATCAGACGACAGCATGGAGGTGGCAGCATTAAGTCGACAAACTGCACTTGAAAACCACAAGTTGCAGAAACAGCTGGAGCGGCAAAAGTACGAACACGAACAGCAACAACTACAACTGAGGCAAGAGCAGCTAAGACAGCAGGAGCAACTCAGGTGGCAGCAACATCAGCTACAACTGCAACAGGAACAACTGATGCAACAAGAGCATGTGCGAAGCATGAGACAGCAACAGCAGATACGAAATCAAAAGCTACATCACCAGCAAAGGCACCAGTACCAAATGCAGCAGAAACAACTTCGGGAACAGCAGCAAATGCTAGAACGACAATACCAACAACAGCAAAGCGAACAACAAGACGGGATCAAGCGGCACTTGGAGACACAGCGACAGCAGCAGGAAGAGATGCGACAGAGGGAACAGCAAAAGGAGGAAAGAAAAGAGGAACGAAGGTCGTTGCTAGCACCCAAGCTGAGACGGGGTCGGTGGCAGCGGCATCAGCAATTGTTGCATCAGTTGGATGACGAAGAAGAAAGCTTGTATGATCTTCGCAAGACAATCACGGTTAGACGAAATGCACCATCATCTGATGCCTCTGTTGCCAGTATGATTCTACAAAATGTGACGGGGGAAGCTTCATTTGGGGGTCATCATCATCGCCAGGGGGTAACAATAGATGTACGGGCCGTGTCGGAGGCACTATCCTTTCTGGACAGGGCCAGCAGGCTTCAGATACCCGAACACTTGGCTGCGACGTTGGAGATACTTTCCAAGACGCCCCGGGGGGAAAAGGAACAGATTGTTCGAAAGGCGATTGCTGTTCGCCAGGGGAGAAAGGTCTATGGGGACGACTATGATTCGTTGCAGCAGTCCTTCTCCAAACTATCATACTCGTCGGGGTTCACAACAAGCTACCAACCAGTTGTGGCTCCAAACTCCAGCAGTTTTGGGTTACTACAAAAACCGACAAGCCAAACCAAGCAAAGCAAGACTTCGGCATTGTCCGTATCCAGCAGCTCGTCAAGATCATTGGGGCCAAAGTCAACGATCACTTCTCCACAAGGCAGTGATACAAGCGATCTTGAATCATATGCTTCTCGTAGGGAAGCCAAGAGAGAACCACCCACCCGTCCTCAGGAAACACTGACAGAGGGGATCAAACCTTCTCATCAAAAGGATGAAGAAACTGCTCACTCGTACATGCCCACTCACCTCAAGGAAGCAATCGCGGAACCTTTCGATTCTATGCATCAAAGAGAACCAAGCGTGGAATCGTCATACCCGTCTCCTCCACTGCAAAGAGAACCAAGCGTGGGCTCGCCGTACCCATCGCTTCACAAAACGGGACATATTGTGGAGTCATACACATCTACGCATCAGAGAGAACCAAGCGTAGAGTCGCACTATCCGTCGCCTCCACAAATGGAACCACTGGAATCGTACGCACCGCCTGAACAAAGGGAACCAAGTGTGGGCTCGTACCCATCCCCTCGTCCAAGAGAACCAAGCGTGGAATCGTACCTTCATCGAAAGGAGCCAGCTCTAGATCCGTACACTGATAACCAAAGACAACACGTTGCGGAGTCTGTTTCTCCTCCTGCCAGCAGAAAACCCAAAAAGGATCCCAGTACCAGGAACAGCAGAAATTTGGCTCTGAGTCCCCTTGAAACGGGCTTCAGGAGAGAAGCCGATTTCAATTATAAGCAAAAATCGCAAGATCCCGAGGAAGAGAGAATGCAGGAGTACCAAGAGTACGAAGAGTACCCGGAATCCCCAGACATTAGTGCGAATCCAACGCCTCTTCACGGAATGTCCATCCCAGGATTAGCAACAGAATCTTACAAATCGGAGGGTGCAGAGCGTCACCGCCATCATGGGGCAGTTGTACCAAATGCGGCGACTCCTCTCCACAGGAATGTAGGCGTGCGCAACACCAACGAGAGGGATCCGCTCTCTCCTACGTTTGGCCTTTCCGCAGATTCAGAAGACGTGCCAACAGTGGAGCTTGGAGAAATGATAAGCCCGTCTACGATTGGGGTCTCTCTGGGCACCTCTGCAGCAGGGGAGGACATGTCCTTTCCCAGTCTTAAAATCAGTGAAGCAATTTCACTACCAAGCAAGAGCAAGCCCGGACATGCCATGCGGCGCGAACCAAGTCCCAGCCCCAGTGACGTCTTGATGACATACACGGTAACAGAAAACGGGGAGGACTCGAGTTTCTCGGGGTCTAATCCAAAAAGTCGGTTCGATTCAGGGAAGTCCTCGGCTCAATCCAGAGGGAAACAGCCCCTTGGAACGAGAGCAGATCTAATTCGTCAAAAGATTGGCCATCAGCCCGACAGCCGACACAGCCGACCCAGCCACCATACTCGTACAAGTCGGCAGCAGTCATCCAAGGCGGAAAGTCGTGAAAGAAGTCGATCGTCATCGAACAATAGCCGAGTGCAGAGCTCGAAAGTTCTACGTTCGCCCTCGCCTGTAAATAATGGAAGCGAACCTCCGTTCCTTCCACCTTCAAGTCGCCGGAGTCTCTATGACCAGGCATCAACTGGGGCTAGGGGTGAGAGCGATCGCCATTCTTCTGACAGCAAGTCTAGCAACGATGAAAGAATCGCTCAACGCGTTGCAAGAGACTCACCAAAAAGAAAACCAAGCGATCCAAAAAGAAATGATAGATCCTTGTCAAGAAGTCGGAACAGAATGTTTGACGGTGACAGGAGGCCGCCGCACACTGAAAATAATTCTGAATACAGAGAGATTACCATTAAAGGCAGCAGATCTCATGACTCGGAGAAGTATGAAGTCGAAGGTATGGGTTATGCATCCGATGAGGGCACTCGGGGAGTCAGCATTAGCAATGTGACCCCGTTGACACCTTCGACAAACAGAAGTGGGTCGGTCGAAAGACGAAAACATCCCATCAGCACCGACCACAAACGCGGCAAATCTAAGGAGTCTCGTCAACGTGAAATTGGAAGCAATGCTGAGGAATACAGATCTTCGAGCAGACGAAGCAGGTCCATTGAGATTGACACGAGAGCCGCCCCAGATGAATTTGAGGAGTCCCTACCGTCCCACGATATTCGTAAAGACAGAGGAAGAACTCGGCAGGACGCCTCGACACGAGGAAAAGTCGACATTCCTTATAGGGCTAGTAGTAGGAGCAAATCAAGAGATGTCCCTCGAATCCCAAGACACGGTAAGAACCCTTTGGAGGATTCCTTCAGAGATGATCGAAATCAATACGACACTTCTTCGTTGAACTCGAGTGAGGGGAGGCCTATTGGGCCTAGTAGCGGTGTCCATCATGACAAGTACGAAAGACCGATTGATCCACGCGATTTCGAAGAAGATGAGTCCAGACCCCAAAGGATAGAGCCCGTGGGGAGACCGACTAGAGCTCCAAGAGACCCCTCTCAAAGAGGGCAAAATCCTCGCTTTGACGAAGGGCCAGACGAAGCCCAAGAATACGACCAGGATGAAGAGGACACCAGCACCCTTGAAAGTGGCATCAGATCCGTTGGGAACTACAGAACCACCAAAGGCAACAAGGCGGCGAAGGCTATGGCGTATGATCTCGACGCACCGCTCAGCTACGAAGAAGAAACTTCGACTTTCGGGGAGTCCACGAAGCGCAATGATGGCTATCATCACAACCACCACCACCACCAGCATCAGGCGAACGACAAATATCATCCTAGAATGGACGATTACGAGGCCAACAACGAGAGTATGGGAGGTTCAAGAGCAGAGGAACGAGAGGGCCAATCCATTCCCTCGAAGGGAACGGATCAGTCTTTGTTGGGTATGGGGATCGCAGAGCAGCATTCTTATATTGTCGAGAAGGGAGCCGAGTCATACTTTATGGACATTAGAGCGTTGGGTGGTCACCATCACCCCATTCACCACGAGGCGCCCTCTTCAGTGGTGGTGCAAGCTCCGGCCAATGTGAATGCCAGTACAATTCGATCTGCGTATGCCACCATGAACAAGGTACTGGGCAAGGATCGATATTCACCCGTTGGCGTTCACGGGAAGAAAACGAAAACAGGAGGACGTCCGTCGTTGTTTGGCGGAAAGAAGAAGAGGAGGCCAACAATCGAGGATGAGGAAGACTTGGACAGATGGTTGGAAACCGCCATGGCCAGCAAATCAGTTGACGATGGTTGCGGCATTGACGCTCGCCAATTTGGTGAAGGGGATGAGGCTGATCTAGATGCTTGGCTAGACAATGTCATTTGTCGGTGATGGGAACAGCGGGAAGACAAAAGAAAGAAGTGCGACATTTTGACATTGCTAGCGGCCAGCAGCTAAACAATAGTGACACCTCATATTCCTACAACTGAGAGGCTTCATGCATTGCCTCTCGAAACCTAATAGTCAATCACCGCGGATGGAAGGGATCTGAAGGTAGCATTATCGTGGGTCGTGGAATTGGCTAGCGCGAAAGGATTGTGCCATCCTCGTTCCCCAAGCTCGTGATTTCTTGTCTCTTGAAACTTGAAACATCATGACATTGACATCCGACAAAGACCCCACAAGTTGGTTTTATTCAAAGAGCTCTACTAGCTAGAGCTAGCTCTGCTACGTGCCGGCATGTCATTCATGTAGTGGTACTGTACCTGGTACCAGGTACCAGGTACCGGCACACCGTTGCCCTCCAACCAAGACAGTCCAAAAAGGACACGTTTGCAGGTCTTACTTAGGGACAGGGCTAATTGTCTGAGAAAGATGACCACCGCCGGGACATCCCTCTTTTCAAAGGGACCGCCGAAACCTTGTCACATAGCGGCCAAAAGAAGAAGTCAACTCGACGAAGCATAAACCATCTCTACCCTACTCGAGTACTGCTAATAGCTCTAGAGGTGCGATGTATCACAGGCATCACTGTGCTGTAATTCATCCAACATCTACGCCTTTGCAAAACCTTTCGCTGACTATTAATAGTAAGAATTGAGAGAAGTTGGTCCCATTAGCCATTCCCCGTGGTGAGAGGTGAGAGTGGGGTATCGAACAGTGGTGGCTACCAATCCAGTCCCATGCCGCCTTCCTCTTGTCATGATGGGCTTCCGGAGTCGCCCAGAGGAGTAGCGTCCATCAATCTGATTGACGAGGAAGCAGCAAGTAGGTTAAATCCCGAGAAAAAGAGTGTCTCCTTTTGGTTGGAGGATTCCTTTCCGGACAAGGCCATCGACTTGGGGAATGGAAGTGATGGCTCCAGATTATCCCAGGTCAAGTGTTTCTACGCACCTCTCCGTGCAGAGCTGACGGAGGAAGAAAAAAAGAATCTGTACTGGACCAAAAAGAACTTCAAGTCCTTCAAGCGTGATTCCAAAAAGCTAGCCAACACCACCGACGAAGAAAAGCACAGTGTGTACTTGACTACTTTTATGAAGACCTACTCGTCGCCACCCAATGACGAATTGTCCATTGGCGTCGTTGAAAGCCGGGATCTATCTTGCCTACCCTTGGCGACTGCTTCTGTACGAGGCTTGGAGCGCTACATTTTTCCTGGCCTGGTGGAGGATCAAAATAGAGCCAAGGAGACGATACTCAGAGCTCAAACCAAGATTGTAGCGGAGCAGAGCATGGACTATGCCCAAAGGGAGTTCATTCTGGCATCCACGTCCGCCATACTCAGTAGGCAATCAAGGTATCTGGCCAGACAGATTGGTCATGCAGATTCCGTAGTGGCGCTGAGTATCTATAAGAATACCTTTCTTCCAAAGAAGAAAAAGGCAGACACGGCAGAAACGAGATGACATGCGTGCTGGTAGTGGGGGTCGTTCATGTTCTCTCTTGGGCTGTCATGGTCGGGTTATAATAGCTATGCCCTGGCGTCGTTGGCAACGCAACAAGTTGACGCTTCAACTTTTTGCGATGGGTTCTATAGTTTTAAAAGTTAATGAATCGAATCGTTTTGGTTGTACAAGCAAGTTGGTATGTGGGTGGATACTCAGCTTTTCAATGTATTATTCTCTTATGAATGATTCATTCGAACATTTTACTCAGAGTAGTAGACATTCAAGGACCAAGCTGATGCACAAACACAGGGTGTACGTGCTTCCAATAACAGGTGGAAGGTAAACAGTGCCACAAATTCTTCTGGCCATAATGGCAAAAGAAGTGGGTGCAATAATCAGAAAGTGGCTTCTTCCAGTAAGTCACTTGGGGGATGATTCGAGTCAAACATCTTTTCTTTGGCAAGGGTCAGTACAACGCCACGCTCTTTGGCTTCTGTCAATCTACACCGGATCGAAGAAACGAACCCAGCGATACGGTACTAGTACCCTGTTGGCATCATAATCCTGTTCCATTTCAGAGCGGGGTGAACGAAAATGCCTGCCTATTCCATGTCAATGCTAACCCACTGCTCGGTATAGATTTGTGCATTCACTGTTTCAATCCTAGCCAGCAGATTTGATTCCACGCCTAGCTGTGGCTACTTTCTGTAACATTTAGTTCGTATCTATTGTGAGCAAGTTGTTGCTCAGAATACAATATCAGATGTGCTACGCGGGTGTGCCGCCCAAATTGAAAAGTGAGACTCCAGAGAGAAGAACTGCTGGCTCCATTGTCTGAGCACCGACAGCCCCTTGCTGGCCTGGGTCTGCTCTCGTAGCGCGTAGCTCCTTTGTTTTGTGTGTGCGCCGAAGAATCAGTCAAATAGTTGTCCCTTGAACCAATCATCGATTTCAAAGAATCTCACCATCACTGATCCACCCAAATCCGTATGTACAGTATTCCTCCTCCTTGCATGATCTGAATGAATCCCGTGTTGGTTGCTGCTCTCCCTCTCGCAACTTGAGGAACCAACAAGATATTCCGCAGTATCAAGGGATTTTGCCCTGCCCGAATGCAACCTCTACCCCCTCATCTTCCAACACCTCGGACAAGATATCCATTACCTGTTCATGTCTTAGCGACGAATTTCTGCTTCCGCTACTACCTGTACCATATATATCTGCTTGAGAAGATTGAGTACTCGCACGAAGAATCCACATCAGAGATGTCGTCTTCTTTGGTCGGTTCTTCTTATTGAAGAACATCAAATCTTTGGCATCAAACGACCTCACAAACTCTGCTTGTTTCAATAGATGGACCATATTGCTGATATACCGGTATCAATGAGTTGCCTCCACTTCCAAAATAATATAAACGTATACCTTAGCCTCGGCCGAGCGAACCAAACAACAAGATAGCAAACAACAAGATACCGCCTGAAAACCAACGGAATTTGATCTTTTGGGTGCTTCTCTTTTTCTTTTGCGAGGTTGCCTTTGAAGCGAGAATGAGTGATCTTTGGAACATCGCCATTGGGCAGTGGTCTGACATCGGTGGCAACCCGAGGCAGCACGTTTACACATAATAGTCGCTTAGCATAATAAAACCTTGGCGCTGTAGACAATAATAAAGCTAAACACCAAAAATACATAGTAAAAGCATGCCGACACCACGGTATGGACCCTCATATGGCCACAAATTTGGCTGATTCCGCGGAATCTTTTGACGGTCGTTGATGTTGCGTCGGTTTGACGAACAACAGATAGGTATTTCGGCAAGGGTTTCTTATCTGAAGGGTAACCAGCCAAATAAGAAGCTGTTCATACCGGTGTGATGGTAGCAACCAGGCTGCTTGGAAGCGCGAACATGCACGATAGCCCCTTGTCTGGTTAGCGCTGCCGCAAGTTATTCCAACCAAGCACGAACGCTTAACTGCCACGGGGAGTTCTTACTAAAGTACCTGGATACCGGTAGATAGCCAGCTGGAGAGCGGTACCGAAGCACACTACGCGAACTTGCTTACAAGCTTGAAGCCACAGCCGCGAGACATCCAGCGTTTGACCACTCAGACATCCGCTGCGACTGCATTATTGATGATCGATGAAGATGAATGGCCCCTCGGCGGCTGCGTAGATAACTAATTTCCCTACTACTAGTACGTATCACATCCAGTAGTACGACTGTACTCGGAACTCGGAATACCCCGTTATCAATCCACAAAAAGATCATTTGATTGAATGATCATTCATCATTCGATCCGATGTAAAATTCGATTTACCGAATGGAATCGATGAGGAATTAAAAGCACGATCGCACATTTGCCTCTTTCACCCAGGGCGCTTCACAGCCCCAGACCAAGACAAGTCAACCTCCAACAGGGTCAATGAAGTCAAGGGAGCTCCATTAGTCTACTAGCTAGCTAGCCAGCCGCCGACGCAGAAAGCATAGTGTACTCTAGTGCTGATATTGTAACGTAGAGGCGAAGCTGTTTGAGCATTCCACATCAATCCGGAAGAGAGGCTGAAGAACTGCTTGCCAGCAAGCCAGCAAGAAAAAATATCGTCTCCTTTGACAAAAAAGATTTCATCTTTCTCAAAGAGCCATAAAAAAACGAACGATGCATCGCACTCTGGCCCTCCAGAAAGGAGGTCGATCCGTGACGACGAACCACGGACAACGGCGAATCCTGAAGCGTCCTCCTCCCATTATCGAGTACATTGAAAAGGCAGTGGAAACGGGAATTTATCGAACGACGGATGAGATTGAAGCAGCCATGAAAGCCATTCGCCGAGGCCAACAAGGTGGTCAAGGAGTCTCCCCTCCTCGCGTCGCCATGGATCGATTTCGCAAGGATATCATTCGAGGGACACAGGTTCAAGATTATCCTGCAGAGTATTTCATTCTCAAACAGCATCCCCCCATTCCACCACCGCCAAGGATACCAAAAAAGTACCAAAAGCAGATTGAACACCGATTGCCCAAACATCCCACGGAACGACTTGTCAAAAAGTACATGCACCGAGGAGTCACGCACAAGGCTAGCACGGAAGATTACTACAGACGATTGCTGGGAGTACAACCTCCTGCCGAAAACTATGCCATGGGACAAAAGAGTGCCAAATTGAGCCAGGCGTATGTCTATGCTGTCAAACAGTACGAAGTCATGAGGACACAAGATGTGAGTGAGACGGAAGCTTTGAAAATTGTGGATGAATTGCTAGCGGAAGATACAAAACAAGAAGGATTCAAGAGTAGAGATATCACCGAGGAAATGAAAGACTGGGAGCAACATGGCCTTCCTCTGACACAAGATGATGACGAGGATGGCGAAGATACCTCGGATGAGTCGACCAGTGGAATTCGCAATGCGGATTTACCGTCGATTCTGCACAACAAGCCTCGTGTGGTGGAAGGCATGCTCCAGTGGAGCCATATGCTACAGAACTCTGGAATCCCTTACAACGAATGGACCGTAGGTGCATCGACGGCATTGGATCATTGGATTGCGCGCAATATTCTGGAATTGTCCGAAGCTACTTGGGATGCCCTGTTGGAAGGATCCGATCCTAGCTTGCTCAGTCGAGGGCAGGATATTGTGACCATTCGAGAAACTCTCTTCCCTGAGACGAGATTGGATGAAACCCCTCAAGAGCGGGACGAGAGATTGATGATGGAAGAAGAGGCAGATCTATTGGCATCTACCCAACAACAGGAAGAAGAGACCACCGAGACAAGGAAAACAGAATCTGTTGACGAGCTGCTGACTAATCTCCGAGGACTGGGAGACAGAACGTTCAAGGACATTGACATGACGTCGCCGGCAAGTTCGGATGGACCACAGGAGGCATTTACTTCCTCCTCCAAGAGCAGGGAAAAGGATCCCATTCAATTGCTCACGGAGGAATTACAGGAGTGGAGGGCCAAGAATCAAAGGGCTTCCTATGACAGTTGGCCCGACAATGAGAAGCAGCGATTCTCGGTAAGTAGTGCACCACAAGGAAACGGGGCGTCGGTTTGTGCTTGCTTTTTGTTAATGTGGTTCTGACGGTTCTACTCTACTCCTTTTGTCTATCAGGCTTGGTTGGATCGGTATGTTGGTACTCTCGTCTCTGACACGGAACGGCGTATGATTGACATGGAAGAGACCCGAATTTCGTTGTTGTCCAGCGCGCCTCAGACTGAAGAAGAGTCGGATGATTTCTGGAGCAGCCTCCAGGATGAGACCAAGGTTGATCTGTTCTTGCACAATCTTTTGCAGCAAGGCCCTCCAGACGATTTGAGTGAAACTGACAAGGTCTTCTGGAACTTGCCCTACTCGGAACAGGTCGAACGACTTGTCAATCTAGGAGCGGTTCGACCTTTGCTAGACGAGTATATGAGCGACGAGGACCGCCAAGACTTTTTCCGTCGCTACGGTGATTTCTTGTTGGATGGAGTTGAAATGGATCATCTGGTGCCAGATCCCAATGGTCCCATTACTGGCAGCGACTTGGACATTGAAGTGGTTCGAACATGGGGCATCACTCGAGAGGACCGCTTCAAGCTCGTCAAGATCCCCTACCGCTCGGGTTTGAGCGGTGACGAAGACGATGGTGAAAGTGGTCGCGATGCAGCCTTGGAGCGATCGCGAGCTCTGTTTGAAGCTTGGAACAGGCACAAAGCCACTCGAGCGAGGTACGAAGAAGCTCTCTTTGTTCAGGGAGACCTTGGACTGAGCTACAATTCCAAGACTGCGAACGAAATGGAAAAAGACAGACAGGAGGAGGATTTGAAAGAGCTGACAAAGGACGATTAGGACAAGTGCAGCTTAACAAATCTCTATGGCTTCTACTTTCAAAGGTTACTTTGTTTCTTTCTTGTCCTCAGATAGTTTTTCTCCATCCGGTACCACGTCCACAGTTTCCATATCTTCTAGCTCTTCGAAATCTTCTTCCATGAATACTTCTTCGTCTGTATCAATGATTTCTTCCACGACCCTCACGTTTTTGCCCATAGAAGGCTGAGGTTTCATCAGACCTGCCTGGAAGGAACCTGCGGTTGCATAGGCGGTCAAACCAAAGTGATATTTTCCAGATCTCTTTCGAGGGTGCTTTGGTAATACATCCGTTCCGTCAGGAAGCTGTGCCGTGTGGGGATGCGTGGGTCCAGCGTAAATCTTGAGACGGGGTTCCATATAGCTTTGCCGTAGATTGTTGCGGTAGAGCATTCCCAAGATGGCTTTTCGCAAGATCTTGGTTGGATTGCGTTCGAGCATGGCTTTGGCCGGTCTTGATTTGAGGCCACCTGGATATCCAGTATGCCATTTGAAGAGCTTGTCATCCCATTTATTGCCTGAAAAAGTGACCTTTTCCGCATTGACAATCACCACTACATCGCCCATGTCCTTGTTGGGAAGAAAGGTGGGTTTATGTTTGCCCTTCAAGATGGGTGCTATTTGGTTTGCCAACCGCCCCACCGTTTGATCCGAGGCATCAACAAGATGCCAACATGTCTGTAAAGCTCTTCCACGGAACGCCATCGTCTGCCTTTTTAGCTTGGGGGGATCTACTACGTACTACAGGTTGACAACCAACAACCCATGGATAGAAGCATGCGGATGCAGTGCTTTCGAAGAGAAGGCGACAGTGCGACCGACAATAAGCAAGTTCGATGCAGCCACCGATTTCCATTGACGGACGGCGATCGGACTAATTTAGGGTTATTTGGCTTGCTTGTAGGGCTACCGGTAACCCAATCTGATCAACCGCTTTGTCAGCATACTAAGCTAGCTAGTCTAGTCATACGATTTTAGCAAAAAGTGCTAGTATGACTTTGGACCACACTTCCAAGAAAAGGGCAACTGTGCATATCTAGCTAGCTAGAGATGTGTAAGAGAGAGCAAGGGATGATGGAATCCAGGAAGTGCCAAAGTGCCTCCAGAAGAAACTGTTTCCAGAAGAGGCCGATCATGTACCGGTAGATAGAGTTTACTGAGCAGTTAGCTTGGAGAAGAGAACAGAGGGGCTCCAGGGGGGGCAGAAATCTAGAAAGTAGACTTCAATAAATCTCTAACCTAAGGAACGACCAACCATGCCACCACAACAAAGGGCTGAAGATACTTGGACACCCCCTGTTTATATGCTTGTCACTACCGGTGGCGAGTACAAAAGCTGGCAGGACGCGAAACTTTTATGAGAAGGCAAAATATGGGCTCCACTCAGAGGGAAGGAAATGGACCAGCTTGTCTACCAGCTAGCTGGTTTTTGGTCGAAGGGTAGGTCTAGCTAGGTAGGAAATGGGCCAGATGAAGGTCCAAGTGTTGGTTATGGCCAGGTGTAATGCAGGGAGATTTGGGGCAGGGAATTAGGAGCTGGAATATGTGTGTCCTGGTACTGTGGGCTGGGAAGTTGGCCTGGGAGTCAGGGAAGGCACGTGTTCTGATTCTCATGGTTCAGGAGATGGTGTTTGTGTAATGCTTGGCCTTTGTCCAGAGATGCACATTGCATGTACGTCCAGGAGTCAGCACAGGAGTTGTCTTGGACTTGCCAGGCTAGGAGATTATCCAGGAGTGGGGCCTGGTGTTGGTCTGTGCAGGTGCAGGGCAAGGGAGGGTCCAAGGTGTTGTTCTCTGGCTATCACCTAGAAATGGGTCTGGAGCGGGGGGCTCCAGGGCTGGAGCTTGGTTGTTTCATGGTGGTACCAACCCATTATGAAGGCATTGGTTTGGTCAGGTTGCTAGCAGGACCAAGCCAGCTTGCAGGCTCACTCCCGCTGGCCTTGTCCCGCTGCCCAAAAAGATCCAAAGTAAGGTCATTTATCATGGTCACATCTTTTGTCCGAGATTTCTTGAAGGGCGCGTTGGTGGGACACCTTAGATCTTTGAATGAGACTGTGGATCTGTTGAAAAAGCAAAAGTGAACCCTGTCCTCGACCCAGGATTGTTGTTTCTAAAGGCTGTTGTTGCGTTGCTGGTTTGTCACTTACTTTCCCTTGCGATTGAGCTTGCGCAAGTAAGAGGAAGGGATAGGATTGATTCCTCTGAGGACTGTTAATACCAATAAAGACAAAGAGGTAGCATCATCAGTCAGTTGACCATGCTTGGCCTTCGACTGCTGTTATCGTCAGCACTCTTGCTGTGCGTTTCCGCGGCCTCGACGGTGTTGGAGGTAATAGTCGAATCCAGAATTGAGCCAGTTTGCGATTGCTTTGGAGTTGTCGGGTTTGGATTTGGAGTTGAATAACAATAAGAAACAATACACCGTCTTTGCTCCTTCCAACGAGGCCATTGCCAAAGATGAAGTCTTTACGACGTACATGTCCCGAGATGGTTGGGTCCATCATTTGAAGACCAACATTCAGCTCATGATTGTGCCCAGCCAAGCACTCTCGGACCAGATGATCTTTGACAAATTCACCACGGAGCTGGTAACGCTCAATGGGACGCTCCAGATCTCACAGCCCTACGCCCTGGTCAACTTGGTCGAGGTAACGAATCCCAATCAGGCCGGAAGCAATGGCGTAGTGCACACCATGAATGGAGTTGTGAAACCATACTGGAGAGGGTACACACTCCGAGAAGTCGAGAAGCACGATGAGTTGGTCGAAGGACTCTCTCCTCAGTTGAAGAGAATCAAGTTTGATAAGCCTCTGGAAGAATTTGTACCCTCCGGTGTCAGTTGGGTAGCATCCAGAAACAGAGGTTACGGAAATGATTCCATTGCGCAAGGATTCTTCCCCATTGTACAAGAACTCAAAGATCCCAACAATACCGAATTCCAGAATCTGACCTACATGTACAATCTTATTGACTTTAATCTCTACGAGCAAGATATCGAGAGAGGATTTCAGCTCATGGTCATGCCTCGAGGAGATATTGCTCACATGTGGATCACCAAGGATCAGAGAAAGGGACTCCTCAGGTTCAATGATGCCATCTTGGATCGTCAGGCATTTGCGAATAACGGGTACGTGGATTGATTGATTGATTTTTGGATGGTCGTTTGTTGGATCTATTGCTTTGGGTTGGGTGTTGCGACCGTCACTCTTTCTTTGGTAACTTCTTCTCATCGAATCTCTCATGTCAAATGTTGGATTATCTTTCTTCCTATTTCTGGCACCACAGAATCACCCAAATTGTAACAAAACCATTGGTCCCTCCCGGATTGGCCATGATATGAATTTCTGTGCCGAGTACACCACCATCAACTTGAAGGATATGTACCAGTATTATCGATCATCCGAATGGAATCTGCGAAATCTTACCCGCTCCATTGGTACGCAGCAAGGATCGTTCAACGTGTTTGCACCTCTCCAATCCGGATATGGAGAATTCAACATTGAGGTGGGCGTTCGTATCTCCACACTCGAGTGGAAGCGTCATTTGTGGGACTTTTTGCTGCACATGACCGTCGAGCCCGCTTACACCACCGATGAGCTCTACAAGTTGGTGGAAGCGGCTGGTGGGTACATGGT